GATTAAGCCTCGTAATGGCAAGGTCAGGACAGAGCAGACATTTGCTGGCTTTGCCCGCTGTCTCTGGCTTGAGGACCCATAGCACGGTGCCAGCTGTTTGAAGGCCTGAATAAGTGCCAAGGACGCCAGGTCATACTGACTTGACTCAGCTTATGGGTTAATACTCTCTGAGCACAGAAGCCACCAGACATGCCACTGAGGAAGGCCTGGATACTTAATAGCTTATGGCAGTAATTGTGCTTGGTTGTTCCCTAAAAGTGGTGATCCCAGGTCAGGTTAGGACATGCCAAGAGTGTCTGTTTTGGGGTGTATCTGAGAAAAAAGGTGTCATTTCTAAAGATGATCTAGTTTCAACAAGGCTCGCTTCATGGCTAGTCATTTTTTCCACTCTTTACCTTGCTTTCATAATCCTAGGGACCATGTGCAGAAACTTAAAGGTGGGAACATGTTATTCAATAATACAGATTTTTATTCTTGTTCCTTCATGTTCCTTGGTCACCAGTTAGTGGTGCCTCTCAGGCGGTTTGGTGACATCAGAGGGAAACCCGTAGTACAGTGGTGAGAGCTTCACTTTGGAGTTAGCCTCAGGCTTGATTACTTAGCACCACCACCTACCAGACAAGTTACTTAACTTTTCTGTACCTCCATTTCCTCCTGACACGTTTGTGGTGAAAATAAAATGAGATTAGATTTGTCAAGCACACAGCCTTGGCCCTGGTAGATATCAAATACATTAAGTTCTTTCAGATTGCGGGTGAAATAGACTCTTATGTTGGATTTTCCTCGTTCTTGTTTTTCTTTGGATGTGCCTTGGAGGAGAGTTAGTACCAGAGTGTGTTATCTGTGATTTTGAGTATGCCTCTGAGGGCTCTGGGCCAACTTCATTACCAAGTAATGAGGCCCCATAGCATCCCAAGATACGTAAGGAGTCAGCTCTTCTCCCTAGATGGACGTGAGACCTTTGTGCCAAGCCCTTGCTCCACCAAGTAGCTCACTCACACACTGTCATTTTGCCCTTCTTAGCATCTCTTATTATAGAGAACCTTATGTCTACTAATTAGACTGTCGTCTTGTTTTTGGAAATTGGATTGTATAATTGAAGTTAACACTCAAGGGAGAGACTTGCTACTTCACATTTTACGATGGATGCTTGCTTCCATCTTCACTCATGTGAGGATTGTTCACTGAGCTTGTGTTTGATAACATTTCAAAGTATAATTCGGGTTTGTTTCGTGGTTGCTGCCCCCTTTCCACCAATTCATTGATTAAACATATGTTTTTTGAGCACCTGCTATGTACCAGGCCCCATGCTAGATGCTAAAACTATGGTAACTGGTTGTAAAGAGTTTGATATGTGTTGGAGGAGACAGACTTCTATTCCTCAGATTGTAAAATAAGGCAGACCGAAGTTGGATGGGTGGGTGGGTAGAAGATACTCCCCATGCTTTGTGCTCTCAGCACTTCATCCCTTCCATTGGTATCGTAATCCAGACATCGGGGTTGATGTTGTTTTGGTATTTCTGTTATACGTTAAGGCTGGGAGATTGGAGTTTGTCTCAGCTTGGAGTCCACTTACTAGCTGATTGAGTTCAGGCACTCCCCTGTATCTCTTTGGTCCTTTGTTTCTTTCACTATGAAGTTAAGGCTGCTTGTTACTTGATGGGTTTCACAGCCCTCTCCATTTCCCCCAGTTTATATTTTACTAAACTTCTGCTCGGATCACTTATATAATGGCAAGAAAGTACTTAAACTCTCTGATGTATTCCTGAATTATGGTCATGTATTTCCAATGCCCTTTTATTCTATTTCCACCCACAATAAATTTTCAAACTGGAAAAATTTACGGCCTTATTTTTTTAAATCTAAGTGAAAATTATGTTAATAGTAAAACTATTTCTGTTCTCCTTTGTTCTACTTGGCAGAGTCTGTTCTGCAACTTCATGGCTTTTAACCCTTTGAAGCATCCATTCCATGTGGCTGGTCATGCATGGTCTTACCAGGGAATTTATGTAGCATGTGCTTGCGGAGCCCCTTGTGGGAAAGGGAAGTGGATTCAGTAACATTGGAGAAGAAGTTTGGAGGAAGAGAGCAGGGGCTGCCAAACGCTGTAACTTTGACCGGCTTTCTGGGGACTGTCATTCTGTTGACTGCAAGCCTTGAGCTGCTTCTCCCTCAGTCTGGAGAGGACGGACAGGGGGTTGGAAGTAAGAGGGTTTGTGGGGAGGGGCAGGATGCTGCAGGGAGTGGGTGTGGGCAAGAGGTTGCAAGGCTGCCAGGGTTCTCTTTGTGCCGGAAGTGCAGGTTTGGCTGTAAGGAATGGAATGTTCCCTCTTGCCCTCCAAGAACAGAAACAGCTGTGGAAGAGCTTGAAAAAAAGATTACTAAATGAAAAAAAAATGAATATGAAAATAAAACCCACATAGAAAACCCAGCAAAACTGCAGTGGAGTGGTAGCTGTCTTTTTCATGCTCTTCAAGAGAACTTTCTTCCTATCTAGGATTTCTTTTTCACTGGGGGGCAGGACAGATTGCCTGCCCAGCCCTTCCTCTTCTAAGAAAGCCTCATGTGTCTCATTTTGCTTGGATAGAGAATGGGTTCATTATGCTGATTATCAGATGATTGTTATTTTATTCCTTATTTTTTTTTTTTTAAGATTATTTGAGAGAGAAAGAGAGAGCGGGAGCACACAGAGGGAGAAGGAGAAGCAGATTCCCCGCTGAGCAGGGAGCCCAGTGTGGGGCTTTTGATCCCAGAACCCTGGGGATCATGACCTGAGCTGAAGGCAGACACTTAACCGACTGAGCCACCCTGGCGCCCCTATTTTATTCCTTCTAATGAGATACCAGAACCTGTCACTTACTGCATGAAAACTTGAAACAAATGTTAGTTTTCAAAGAGATCGCTGTGGGTAGAGAATTATTGTTAGCAAATTTAATGGAAATCTTGTTTCTAGCTGGAAATTTAATCCTTCAGCCAAGTTCCTGACAATATTTATTTTAGAACATTGTCTTTTTAAAATAAGTCCCTTAATGGTTTAAACTTAGTGTTTTAGACAAGAGTAAGAGTAGAGCTAGCCTGGAACTTGTCTTACACATCAGGGTTGATTGTGCAATCCTTTATGTGAATGTTTATTTAAGTTTTCTTCCCAGTCTGAAAGGCTTGCTTGGCTATTACAGCTGGTATTCCATATTGTCAGAAATAATAACTGTTTCTGATTTCTAGTCTGTTTTATGCTATCATACTTTCTGTTGTTGCTTTTGAACGACAAGTTAGCCCCAGAGGAGACAAAATCTAGTGGAACGAGATAAGCCAGCTAAAATCTCGACTCTCCCAGGATCTAATAGGGAGGACCAGCCTCACACTTCTCCCTAAGATGGCGGCACCGCTTGGCTTCTAGCAGCGTCCACCCAAGGATCTTTGCACTGAGTGTAATGCTGTTGTGTTTTGCACAGTTGAGGAATGAGAAGGAATGAGAAACAGAGTATGTGATTGTTATTTTTGAGGCTGAATATGTCCTCAGGGAAGTTCATTAAGTAATACTTTGCTGTATTCTTAACAGTGGGAGCTAATAAGTACCTCACGATTGGGGTATGGCTTTGTCAGAAATAATTTTTACCCAATCTGTCTTTTTGGCATTTTGCTTGAAGGGCAAAGGGATTGCTGTGAAATTTGCTGTGAAAGGGATTGTACGAGACTGCATGCTACTTCAGGGAGGCTCCTGAAAGTTATAGGGATCGCTTACTGTCCTAGCTCATCCTTTCTTCAGCCTGTATCAATTCTTGTTTTGCACATGTCCCCATGACCTCTTTTCTGTCCATGCCTATCTGTGCCAGGTGGAGAAGTGGCATGGGACAGAATGAGACGACTCTCGCAAGGTCCAGGACTCTTCACCCTCTCCTTTGCCTTTTTTTTTTTTTTTAAGAAAAAATATATCTGGATCCCAGTGGCCTGAACACTTGCTCTGTTTTACTCTGCATGTATAATCCCAGCTTGAATCTGTAGCCCCGGATCTCACCCTTATTTTCTAAATGGGAGGAACTTGGATTTAGACAACATCGACTGTGCTGTGCTACCAGATCCGGGAAGACTAGGGGTTATGAGGTTGGACTTAGAATCTCAGTCAGTGGAAAGGTAAGGGGGAAATTCCAGTGATTCTCAGCTCTAATTGCACATTAGAATAATCTGGGGAGCTCTAAAAATGTACCTCTACCCAACCCTTACCCACACCGATTGAATCAGGGTCTCTAGGAGTGGGGCAGGAGTACATAAAGCCTCCCCCAGGCCATTCTAATGGGCAGCCCGGGGGGAGGAATTCATACTTAAGAGAAGTCAGGGCCTTGTCCAGAGAACTGCCTTTGAAAGAGCTTGTCATTATAAATCAGAGGCAGCTTCCCAGGCCCTGGGAAGGTCCTGAAGCTCTGTCTTCGTGTTACTCTACAGTGGCACACAGCCCCCTGGGTCTCCTCGTGATTTGTGGTTTCCATTGGGCTTTTCACGTGACCTTTATTATTGCCTGCTCAGGAGAGGCATATATTATAATTCAGGCATTTGGCAGCCTCATTCTGAATTGTCATTGCCCACAAGTCAGAGCAGTGAGATCTACTTGAAATGCTGGTCCTGTGCGCAAGGTAGATGAGTACTGTGTCTAAAGGCAATCCTTTGCAGATTGTCCCCACTGAAATCCCTTAGAAGGACCAGGTAGATGCCTACAATCTGCCTGGTGGGAGGCAGTGGGTCTGGCTTAGGAGTTAACAGCCATGACCCTCCCTTTGCTGCTTTGGAGACTGCACAAAAAAAGAGGGAGAGGGATGGGTTGTCTTCATAAAAAGGAGGGTGGGCAGGGGCCTTTAAGAGTTAAATTATACAACTCCCTTTTTATTTTTAAAGTCAGTGGATTCCTTGTTGCCGTTGCTGAGAAAGATAAATTGATACCACATGTTGCTTCCAGACAAAACCCTCTCTGTGCTCCAGGGGAAGCACATGCAGCTGGTGTCTGGGTTAGTGGACAGTCCCCACAAGGTAAACATGGGTTGGAAGGGGCTGGAGTGGACATAGGGTAGCAACAGTTAGGAAATTACCAGTCGCTCCCGACTGACACGGCACCTTTGAAATACTTTTAAGAGTCTGAAATCTTTTCCTGGAAGGAGCCGCCCTCTCACCTTTTGGCTTAAATTATACGATGCTCGGAAAACAGTAAGTGAACGTTTGTGATGTCACTGCTTCCGTATGTGGGATCTGACAGTAGAGAGCTTCTTTGTGCTTGGCATTCCAGTGGGTACTTTGCATGCGTAATTTCATTTAACCTTCCCGAGGATCCTAGAGTTAGGGAGGGTAATTTTACCCTCATTTTATGAAAGGGGCATGCGAGGTTAACTCAGTTGCCCAAGGTCACTGAACAAATTTCAGAGCCGGGATTCCAGCCCGGACCTGACTGACATCAAAGCTTGTAGTCTTCCTTCAGCATCACGCTTCCCGCCCCCTCCCCCCAACCACTGGCCACCTTAAATTGCATGTGTGAATTATCCACTTTGTAAATTATCAGTGGAGAATACTTGTTCATTTCAGGCAGCTTCTCTCTGACACTTCATCTCATCTGTTTTGGGTCCTTCTGTCTTCATAACCAGTTGGCACATATGTAGTGACCGTGTGCACTTTAATATTAGCAATAAATGTATCTTACAGTAGAAGATTGTCTTGCAGGATAGCAAGAAAAGTAATTAACAGATTCTGATAAGTACAGTCATCTTTATGCTAATTTCTTCGAGGAGGGCCAGGTAAAGAAATCTCTAGGCTGTGGCCCCCCCAGTCATCGTGACTGTGAAATGTGAGTCCCTCGTGCTCTCTCCTGCAGATACCTCCTGCATGTACCTCCTTGAAGGATTGGGCCACTAAATGCAGCTGCAATCACATAGAACACAGGTTTGCCAGTTCTATTACTATTTAACTACATCTGAAGCATTTCTGTCCGGTACAGGGCTTGTTTTGTTGTAAATCATTTTGTAAGAGAGCATTGACATAAAATGGGATGGAGAGTGGGTTCTTATTTCTGCTCTCTCTTCAGACATGTTCTGTTAGAGGTGCTTTAAGGATTTTCTAAATCTTTGGGCCAGGTTGGAGAAAAACTGGCATATTTGTCCCTGACACTTAAAGTTGCTTCCTAGAAGATGTTTGCTTTCCTATAATTCATCAGTATTTGGATTTCTTAGGAGTGGACTTAAATAACCAGAACTCTTCACATGATTTTGGGTTGAGATTGTAGTAGCTTCTTGGCTCCTTTAGTAAGTAAATGTGATGGCAGAATGGCCTGTGCTCAGGTGCTGGTTGTTAGTATTTACCTTATCACTTCAGCATTAATGAAAATGTATCCCTAGTACTTCAGCCAATTAATAATGGCTTGCCTCACAAGGTATTTCAAAATGTCTGTTAGAAAAATCACTCTAGTCCTGTCAAACCATTCCTGCTTTACTTCAGCTCCCAATCCCCAAACTAATGTAAAATCTTAGAAATATAGACTGGTATGATATATGAATTAGTCGAAAACCATAGACTATTTTTAGTGGTGGTTTTATAGTTTAAAATACACATAGTACGTTGGAAACTAATTTACAGACCCTAATGCAGAGGTCTTTAGAGAATTTAAATGATAGATCATTGAGAAGATTTTACAGTTGGCTTGTCTGTTTTTTTAAATCCCACTTCTCATTCCTGGGACTCCATGAGGGAGTGGTTATCTGAAACCTTATAGAAATCATATCACCATTAACTTTTGTTATCAGGGAAGGTGTGGGGAAACATTGCAGTTCTGACATTTTATTTGGCATTCATTTATTTACCTTTTCCTGCTTCCAAAATTTAGGTAGAGAAACTAGTGATTAGAATCATGACCTGTGAGGAAAACCAGAATACATTCCTGGCATCTGACCTTGTTAGGGTGAGGGGACATTTGAACTGGAAATGGACAGAGGGGCCCTATTCATTGGCCTTCTGTCAGTGGCCCATCTTCAGATTATGGATTTTGTAAATGGAAAGCTGACCAGCCAGTATGGATAAAGGCTGCTGAGATAGGGGACTGTCACAATGCTGGTGGCAGCTTCTGTGTTGTCTTAGTGATGTAACTGGAAAAACCTGTCAGCGTGTTGTGTAGGTAATATGCCTTAGGGCATGCATTCTGCCACTAATAACCTCTAAAACAGGAGTTGAGCAAAGATTGGAAACTGAAGCTAATCACCAATTTATGAAGTCAGGTTTTATTTCAGAATCTAAGGGCAGTTAACGTTGGTTTGTATGGTGACCACTGCGCTCTCCCTAGAGTGAATGCTATTATGGCCACTTAGTAAACAAGTACAAACATGGGCGGCTGTGTGAGCCTTCACTTTCAGATCGGTTCTTCTGAAAGACCTTCCTTAAAAAAATTTAATTTAGGAAAAGACCCATCAAATTATTATCCCTGTTTCATAAACAAAATTATAGTAATGTGCTTTTTTTTCTTCCTTTTTGGAAAGGAATTTTTTTTTTTTTTTTTTTTTTAAAGAGAGAAAGAGAGCAGGGGCCTGGGGAGCAGAGGGAGAGGGAGAGAGAATCCTAAGCAGCCTCCATGCCCGGTGCAGAGCCCAGACGCGGGGTTCCATCTCACAACCCTGAGATCATGACCTGAGCCAAGATCAAGAGTCTTGTCGCTTAACTGACTGAGCCACCCAAGCGCCCCTGGAAGGAAGGTTTTTCTCTGAGCAGAATGAGGTTGTGCCTTTTATATCCTTCTTTCTTAAATGTTTCTTTAAGTTGGCACAAAAAGCTCAAACAATGACTTCTAAATACTTTGGTGACAAAGCTGTGAAAAATTATAGTAAAAGCATTGGGTTGGAGTTTGGAAAACAAATTTCACTCTGGGTTGTATAGACACTAGCCGTGTGACCTTGTGTTAAGGCATTTAATATCTCTCAGCCTGAGCCTTCATATATATGACGAGGGCACTGATACCAACTTTGCAGGTTTATTATGAGGATTAGAGACCATGAATCTAAAAGTTATGGCCCAGTAACTGGCAGTGCTCTAATAGGCAGGCTCTCATTTCTTAACCCTTGAGACCAGGGACCTGACACCCTGCAGTTCTGGTCCTAGATATGGGTATGCCGGCCCCTTTACTGCATGCCCTTCCAGAAGCTTAATTTCTGCCTCTGGATTTTTAACCAATTGTGGCTTGTAAATTTTACTAAATTATACACATACATTGAGGTTTAGAGTTGTAGTAATAGATGACCATTAGAAAGTTCACATAGGGCATTTTGGAGTTTTTTTAGTGTTGCTTTTTTTTTTTTTCCTCCTGTTTGGTTCAGGTTTAGAGTTTAAATGTAAAAATACATTTAAAAAATGTATATATCGTTGAGCACCTGGATGGCGCAGCATCCAACTGTTGATTTTGGCTCAGATCATGATTTCAGGGTCCTGGGATTGAACCCTTCATCGGGCTCAGTGCTCATTGGGGAGTTTGCTTGAGATTTTCTCTTTCCCTCTCCCCCTCCCCCGCTCATGTTTTTTTTCTCTCTCTCTCTAAAATAAATATCTTTTAAAAAATATGTATTGTTCCCTAAGTGCTTTTAATTTTTATTTTTTTAAATTTTATTTATTTGAGAGAGCACACATGTGCGTGCACATGCACGAGCAGGGGGAGGGGCGGAGGGAGAGGGAGAAGCAGACTCTGCTGAGCAGGGAACCCAAAATGGGGGCTCAATCCCAGGACCCTGAGATCATGACCTGAGCCAAAGGCAGATGCTTAACCAACTAAGCCACCCAGGCGCCCCTCCCAAGTGCTTTCTAAGGGGCTGGCGGGGGGGTAACCCAGTACATAAAATTGGTCATTGTTAATCCTAGATGTTGATATGAACTCTTTCCAAAATCTAGAGCTAAGTGGGCTGGCCAGGGTTGCACATTGCTCCCACAGAGCTTCAGAACCTTCCTGTTTTTTCACCAAGAAGTTTAAGTTTTTTATTTAATAGATCTACTCATCTGAGTACTCAGATAGTAGAACCACCTTGCACTTACCTGCTTTTTGAGCCCTGCAGAGTGAATTTCAAGAGCATGCTTCATATCTGATTTGTAAAGTATTTTGCTTTTTAAAGAAATGTGATTTCTGAACCATTAGTAGAGATGCCATTATTCTTTCAAAAACCGTAAGAGTAAAAGGGAATCAGAGTATATAGTCTCCGGGGCAACATTTGTCTCATCAGATGCTCAGCATGTTCCCTGTTTTTTTCTCTCAAATGTGTCTTTATGGCCATCATAGAAATGCCAACATATGACCCATGGTTGCACATGTTCATTGCCCAACCTGAGCTGTAGGCCCTCCTTGCGTGGGAACATAAACATGGGAAACATGGAGTATTTTGGATTATTTGCTTATGGTAAAATCCTGCTGATTTTCTGTGTTTTAAAAACATTCTGGGGGAACACATGTATTTGCATCTTCTACATAAATACAGTTAGTGATTGCCAATTTTTTAAAAACTATGGTAACTTTTAGGATTGTATTTAATATATAGCATCAGGAAATACCTCTTGTCTTTAACTTGCAAATAAAAGCTCATCTGGCCTGTAGGTGCTGTTGCAGATGTGGAGAATACCATCAGCTCCTCTCTTTTACTGCACATGAGGCATTTTACGGATTAGAATGAGGCCACATCAGGTGATGAGCTCTCTCCACCATGTGTACTGTGTGTTTTATAATAGCAATGAAAACACCCTGACTTGGTAGCATGACCGGTTCCTGAAGTATATTATCATATATCATTCTTACATCATCCCTGTCAGGGAGGGATGGTTTGGATGTTATTATGGCTATAATGAAGATAGAGAAGTAAAGTTGTTGCCTACAGATTAAATGATTTGCTCAAGGTCACATGGTTGATCAGTGGCAGAGATAGGACTGGATCTGGGTCATCCCAGCCAACCAGCCTTATCTACCAAGCCAGGAGGCGGATCTTGCAAGATGGCTGCAGTTGTTAGGATTTTTAAAGATATTTTGCCCTATTTCTTTTTTTTTAACCCTTTAATATAGAATAGTTTTAGATTTACAGAAAAGTTGTAAAACTAGTACAGAGAGTTCTCATATACCCAACATCAATTTTCCCCTGTTGTTAACATCTTACCTTAATCTAAGTTTAGTTTGGTTCATTGGTCACAACTAATGAACCAATATTGATACATTATTATTAACTGAAGTCCATATTTTATTCACATTTCCTTAATTTTTACCTAATGTCCTTTTTCTGTTCCAGGATCCCATCCAGGATACACATTACATTTAATCATCATTCTTCCTTAGGTTCCTCATGGGTCTGACAGTTTGGAGGAATACGGAACAGGCAGGCATTTTTTTAAATGTCCCTTAATTGGAATTTGTGTGATGTTTTTTCTCATAGTTAGACTGGTGTGATGGGTTTTAGAAGGAAGACTACAAAAGAGGGTGCCATTTTCATTACATCAAGAATGCATATTATCAACATGACTTAGCCCTACTGATGTTGACCTTGATCACCTGAGATAGTGTTTGTGTCTTCACTGTAAGGTTACTTTTTCCCCTCCTTTCCATACTGTACTCTTTGGAAGGAAGTTACAGTGCTCAGATCATTGCCTTGAGTGGGGTATCTATATAAATTATTTGGAATTGTTCTGAATGGAAGACTTGCCTAAATATTTCTGTCAACTCAGCAAATCCTACTCTACCATTTTTTTCTCATGCCTGTTGGACAGGTGTGAAATTAAGGCAGGAAGAGGTGGAGTCATAGAAGGGATCGGTAACAGTTCACAGCAGTTCTGAGTTTATAGACGTGGTTAAGAAAAGGTAGATGCTGCCTTAAACTAGTGGAGGAGGGAACCATAAGAGAACAAAATGGCCCCCCAAGTGATTTACCCTTAGAGAGCCAGGGAGGTTTGTTGCAAAGTGCAGGGAGAGAGTGCTGTGGTAATAAATTATAAGTGTGAACTTCAGTATAGGAAATAGAATTATAGAAAGGACAACAAAATTTAGGAGTTTGGGGAAAACAACATCATTGAATTTACACATGTCCAGCATCTCCTGGATATGAAACCATCTCCCACCTCCTAAATACCAAACTTGGCCATTTGCAATGTTGCCATTAAATTCCAACCTGGGTGGGGGGCATATCATACAAATGTTTGTCTTTTTTTTTTTTTTTAAACCTCCAAAATTAAAGAGTCCCCCAGCCCCAAAATGAGTCTGATTAACTACCTCTTCTGGGTGCCTAAGTTTTGGACCATTTTGTCTCATATTCTGCATTTTCCTTTCTCTCTGCAGAACTCTATCCGGCACAACCTGTCACTGCACAGCCGGTTCATGCGGGTCCAGAATGAGGGAACCGGCAAGAGCTCTTGGTGGATCATCAACCCTGACGGGGGAAAGAGCGGGAAGGCACCCCGGCGGCGGGCTGTGTCCATGGACAACAGCAACAAGTATACCAAGAGCCGTGGTCGTGCAGCCAAGAAGAAGGCAGCCCTGCAGACAGCCCCTGAGTCAGCAGATGACAGTCCCTCCCAGCTCACCAAGTGGCCTGGCAGCCCCACATCACGCAGCAGTGATGAGCTGGATGCGTGGACGGACTTCCGCTCACGTACCAATTCCAATGCCAGCACCGTCAGCGGCCGCCTGTCACCCATCTTGGCGAGCACAGAGTTGGATGACGTCCAGGATGATGATGCACCACTCTCCCCCATGCTCTACAGCAGCTCCGCTAGCCTCTCACCCTCTGTAAATAAGCCATGCACCGTGGAGCTACCACGGCTGACCGACATGGCGGGCACCATGAATCTGAATGATGGGCTGTCTGACAACCTCATGGATGACCTGCTGGATAACATCACCCTCCCATCGTCCCAGCCATCGCCCACTGGAGGGCTCATGCAGCGGAGCTCTAGCTTCCCATATACTACCAAGGGCTCCAGTCTGGGTTCTCCAACTGGCTCCTTTAATAGCACAGTGTTTGGACCCTCGTCTCTGAATTCCCTGCGCCAGTCTCCCATGCAGACCATCCAAGAGAACAAGCCAGCTACCTTCTCTTCCATGTCACACTATGGCAACCAGACACTCCAGGACCTGCTCACTTCAGACTCACTCAGCCACAGCGATGTCATGATGACCCAGTCGGACCCCTTGATGTCTCAGGCCAGCACCGCTGTGTCCGCCCAGAACTCCCGCCGGAACGTGATGCTTCGAAATGACCCAATGATGTCCTTTGCCGCCCAGCCTAACCAGGGGAGTTTGGTCAATCAGAACTTGCTCCACCACCAGCACCAAACCCAGGGCGCTCTCGGTGGCAGCCGTGCCTTGTCGAATTCTGTCAGCAACATGGGCTTGAGCGACTCCAGCAGCCTTGGGTCAGTTAAACACCAGCAACAGTCTCCTGTCAGCCAGTCTATGCAAACCCTCTCGGACTCTCTCTCAGGCTCCTCCTTGTACTCATCTAGTGCAAACCTTCCCGTCATGGGCCATGAGAAGTTCCCCAGCGACTTGGACCTGGACATGTTCAATGGGAGCTTGGAATGTGACATGGAGTCCATTATCCGTAGCGAACTCATGGATGCTGATGGGTTGGATTTTAATTTTGATTCCCTCATCTCCACACAGAATGTTGTTGGTTTGAACGTGGGGAACTTCACTGGTGCTAAGCAGGCCTCATCTCAGAGCTGGGTGCCAGGCTGAAGGATCACTGAGGAAAGGGGAAGTGGGCAAAGCAGGTCAGTGCCCAATGCTATGGCATTTAATAACAAAGTGGTGGTGATGGGAGGGAGGCTGACTTTTATTTACTTTGAACTTTACTCCACATTGAGAAATTGAGAACCACGGAGCAGTGGTATGCAGTAACGTGGCTCCCAACCGTTTTCATCTCCACGTCAAACAGGGCCATCAGGTGCCCCTCCCCACAATTTGCTGACAGCTCAGGAATTTTACTGCCAGTAAAAAGAACATACACACATTCAGAGATTTCATTCTTCTTTGTATCCAGTCACCCTCGCTCACCCATGACACAGGTCTCCCTACTTGATGGATGGATGAGGATAGAATGGCAGGGGAGGGAGGGGACCCTTAGGTCACACAAACTTCAAGGCTAAGGACCCAACCAGGGGACCTTCTTAGCCTCTCAAGTCCAACATTACCATTGTCGATCTTCAATGTTACGGTTTCTTCATCTTTTTCCAGTAAAGTAACAATTTTCAGGTACTTCTAATTTAACTGTAGAATATATATTCTGGACTCCTTCATGCATGAGTATTTCCACCAAAAGCAAGATCTGTTAGATTCTTCACCATAGTACTAATTGTCTTTATTGGTTAGTGTTCAGCTTTTACGCATTTAAAGGAGCAAAAGAATTAAATTGAAAACAGTTTTTATGTGAGAAAGAGAGCAGTTGCTCATGTGCTTCTTGTTCCCCGAAGTCTAAGTGAGGTCAGGTTCCAAACAGTGACATGGGTTGGGAATGGGAGCAGAGATTTTCTAAATTCTGGCATTTTAATACTGTTGGAACGAGAAGGATCACACATGATGTGATAAAAACATTTTATTGGAATCAGAAATCAAGGGTTCAGTTCCACTTCTGCTACTTTCTGGCTGCTATCCAGAGTGTGTCATTTGGCCTTAAGAATACTGTCTGAGCCTCAATTTTCAGTTTTATAAAATGAGAATAATCACCCCCTTGTCACTTCTTGGGGTTATTATAAGAATCAAATGCACTGAAGTATGTGAAAGTGCTTTGTAAAACTGCAGTGCTCTGAAATATGTATAGTGTAATTAGGTAAACATAACTGACTGACAGATGAGTAAGCAGGGAGCCCAGAGAAGTTAAGTTTGCCAAAGTTCACACAGCTGGACCCAGAATCCGTATTTCTTGAATGTCTTGAACTGTGATAGTTTTCCCTACTTTTCTCTAGGTAGAAAAAAAATAGGAAGTGCTCTGAACTGGAGCCAGTGGAGCAGATAATACACAGGCTTGCCCTGAAACTCTCCTTAAGAAGTAAGGTGAGCACTGGGGTATTGTGCTGACAAGTTCGTACCCCCAGACCCTAGCATGTTCAAAGACTCTGTTCTGTGCCCCCAGCTCCTCTTTTAAAAACATCTCCGCAAGCCTCTTACATCCTTCTTTAAATGGTGTAAAGGGGAAATGGGATTCAAAGGCATTAAAACCTGAGCCTTGTTTAACCCTCTGCCCCTGGGAAGGAATTACAAGGGTCTCCTATGGTGAGCTCAGTGCAGTTCATGGGGTAGTTGTAGAAAGGGGAATGTCAAGAGTGTTGTGATGCTAAAGCTTCTCAGCTTTCCCAGGCATAAGCAGGCCCCTAATGGAACTCAGACATCTGTTTTCAGTCATTTAATAGCCCTTGAGATGGTAAAAAGACTGTAATGGAAGCTAAACAGGGTGACACGCTTGCATGCCAGCCAGTTCAGTCCCATACCAGAACTCAGACTGGTGAAGACAGGCCTTGAGAAATGTAGATATTTGGCTTTTAGAAGAATAAATAGTTTGTCTTCCTTTAAGAAGTGGAATGTGATTGTGGCTTCTAATGACCCAAGTAAGTTTTAATTTTGGTGTAGTTGTAAGGAGGCCACTTTCTAATTCATTGAGAAGAGGTAGTTCAGAAGGAAACGTACTATCAATTCTTGTCTACTTTTTCAGTGTAGTTCAATAGCAGACCTTTCTTGTGTATGTATACTTCTGAAAGATTGTATAAAAATATTTTGAGGGAGATGTAAATACATTTTAAGGTATATTTAATGAATTATTATTTGGATGATAAAGAACTACTTTTGGGATAATGCATTTTATTATTATGCCCTAATGTTCTCAGAACATTTTGGGGATATTGTTTTGAGAAGATATTTCTTCATTTAAGAATGAAAAGTCACCAAAATTTCCTGAAGGTAAACCAGCTCAGTGTGATCAGAGCAAGAGAAGAAACATCCTAAAGATGACACAGGGCTTTGAGGGAGTCTGGTGTCTGAGTTTAGGATTTCCATATTGCTTTGGAATGAATTGCTCCTCTAACCAGCCAGGAGCACAAATGTCCTGAAGTATATTCTTTACTTTTAAACTTGTGACTCTCCTAAATTCACAGAACCAGCCTGAGGTCACCACCTCAGACCTCCCTTCTCCCAAATTAAGTACCCCAGCATCCCAAGACATTTTTGGTTTGGCTTCTTCTCTTCTCTTCTCTTTTTTCACTAGTAGTCATGGTATTCTCCAGACTCCCTTTCTGGCCTAACAGAAGGTCATGTGACCCTAAATTAGAGCCCTCTGGTTGTGGAGTTAATGGAGCAGCTCTGTCCAGTTGACAGACAGTCTTGCTAGAGAGCCGTGGAGAGGTGCTTCTCTGGAGGGCTGGGTGTTTCACACACGTCATTCATCTTAGACCATGTGTAAAATCCTTTGACCTATCTGGAAAAGAAAAAAAAATAACGATACCTTTTTATGAGTGCCAGCTACTGGGGTATGAAGGGCACTGTCTTCTCTCCTTCAGCCTGGTGCACATGCTTGCAAGTTGGCAGCAGAGATGTTGTGAGCTGGTGTGGTTGCAAGGCCGAGCTCCCAGCGAGCCCTCCTGTGTCTGATGTGTGTCTCCTTAGAGGGCAGGCAGCCTCAGTCTCACTGTTGTTTTGAGGTCAAAAGATGCCTAAGTTCACAAGCTCTTTCATTCATCTTCATCTTTTTGGCATTTGGAGACCCCATTAGGGAGCAGCCCCGTATTTAGTTTTAAACTACTTTGCGATAAAGATTAGAAGACATCAACCAGAAAAGGCCCAGCTGGAGAGCGGAGGTATAGTTCTCTTCCTGCTTCTGCACATCACCAGTGAGTCTCTCACAATAGTAGGCTTCTCATCTGTCAGATGAGGATAGAATCATAGAGTTTCAAAAGTGCATAGTAGATGTAATTTTAAACCCGAAACCTAACATTCTGTCTGTGAAGTGGCCCTAGTAAGAGATACGTGATGGTACAGAACTATAAAGAAACAGTGGTGTCCTAGTGTGGGAACGGCAGGATCTAGTGTTGAAGGCCATTTATGTTATGGAGTTTATGTTTAGGCTGCTTTCCAAAAGGAGCAAATTTTTGATACTGGTTGAACTGATATCTGAATGCTCTGATTCTGTTATGTATTCATGCTGGGGAATAGGACTAATTCTAACCAAATACAGGCAATGTAGGCTATTTGTATCATGTTTTTTCTTGTGGTAGATATTTCTATGTCAGGCAATGTAACGTATGATAAGTATGAATCTGTACGTATTGCATGGAGAGTATACTCTGTTACTTGCACTTGGGGCTGTAGTCTTAGTCTGTGGTTACAATATGCCCGTCTCAAGAATTCTGCATCTGCAGGGATCTTTATTCTTACCTTAAAAAAGCCTGAAGTCTGAACTGTCATTCATTGAGAATGGCTGTCCGGATCTTTTTAGTGTTGACAACAGTAAAGGAAAATTGACCACAGCTGTGAAGGGGTTTTCTATGCAGAGGCTGGTACACTCCTTACACACATTCTTTTCCCTGGAAAGCAGTGATACTAGCACTGAGGCTGCTCCTCTGGGGCACAGGGACAGAGCCTGAGTGACTCTCACTTCAAGCAGTTGCATTTATAAATGGCTTTCTGCAAGGTCTCTTTGGCCACAGAGCTTATATGGAGCATGAATAAATGGGGTGAAAATCACCTGAATTACTACTGGAAATTCTTGTAAACTTTAAGCTTCCATTAAATGCTTTTTCCAGGGTTCATAATGCTCAATATTCAGCATTTCATAAATAACGTTTTCTCAAGTAAAGTCTTCCCCCAAATGCCACCTATGCTTCTCACAGTCTTCCCTTTCTTTATAGAGATGGGGAAAAGGGGCTTGTCGGGATCTACCTCTGTGCTGTCACTGGAGAGATGGGCCAGGGTTCTGCCTTGTTCCTGGGGCAGGTAGAAGGATGTTTGCTGACTGCTGGCTCTTCCCAACTTGGTGATGCATGTTTTAACACTGGATTTTCATTCGAAGGTGGAGATGCCCAACCTTGTAAGAGACATCATCCGCTTCACCCTGGTTTTGTGGATGTCTTCATTTGATGTAAAAACATTGCTTTCCCCCATCTTACAAATTGTTTTGAAGTTTAAAGTTCCAAAAACTAAAATGAATTAAAATTTTTTGAAAATTAGTGTGACACTTCTGATATTTAGAGGTCCCATAAATGTTTCTCAGGGTTCCACAGAATACTAGATCCTCAAGGTATTATGGGTATTAAGTAGAAAATGCATTCTTTTTTTAAATTTTATTTTATCATGTTATGTTAATCACCATACAGTACATCATTAATTTTTGATGTAGTGTTCCATGATTCATTGTTTTGAAAATGCATTCTGTGGTCAAATAAGTTTGAGGAATACCATGTTAAACAAAGTGAAATAGGGTTGTTGCCAGTCTGGCTTCTCGGAGCCTTAAAATTTAATATACGTTATGAACCTTCTAATATAGGATTGCAGTATTTCCTAAATTTATTTGCTATCTTGAGTCAAATCCTTTTTGATCAAGAAACCATAGGACCCATGTTCTAAGGAAACCCCTAAAGACATGAACCAGCCACCCACTTAAGCTCACTGTCGCTGGGGTTCTGCTTTGGTAGGAACCGTGGGTTTAAAAAGCCTCCCCTACAACCCACTCCAAGTTAAGTATCATCTGTGTGGTAGGGCAGAGGAGCTGTGGGATTTTGTAGCAGAA